GATATTTTAAAGAAAATTGTCTTGCCACTACAAAAAGTAAGAACCAAATCCTAGATTATAAAACTAAAACCCTGAGTTTCAAGAAGAAAATATTTTACAAATATATAACATAATATGGATCATGCTAACACCAGTATTTCTTGCCACCGTGATGGTCTCTGATTCAGTTTCATTCATAAATTAAACATATAGAAAAAGACTGAGTTCTCAAAGAAATACCATTTTAAAAGAAACAAGAAAGCCAGACTAGCCACGAAAACCATTCCACTTGGTTAGCACAGCTTTCAGAAACAGAGGTTCAGCTGCCTGGATTTAGATTCCCTTCTTATCTGATCTATTATCTTTCTGTTTTCATATTTTTTCTAGCCCCATGTTCTGTCTTTGATCTCAATGTTAGATGCTTAAACCTTTTCAAACAGTTCCAAATCTAATCTGAATACTACATAGTCCTTTAAAGAAAGTTTCCAATTAATCTGATGAATAATAAATTTACAATTCTCGATCACATTCTACAGAAGCTTTCAACTATTTTGACCTTGGAACCCCTTTAACATACTTCAAACTTGAGGACTCTGAAGAGCTTTTTATTGATGTGAGCCACACTGGAAATAAAACCTAAAAAATGTTTTAAATAAATATTAAAATAAACCGTTACATAATAACAGATAACATACAGTTATAAAAAATAATTATATTTTCCAAACAAAAAACCGTAGTAAGAAGAGTGGTATGGTTTTACATTCTTACAAATCTCTAAGTCATAGTAAAGGACAGCTGGATTTGCATATCCTCTTCTGCCTTCAATAGGATGAGCAATGCTGTTTTGACTGAAGTATATGATGAAAATTTGATCTCGCTATAGTTATGTAATTGGAAAAGGTATTTGCATGGCCTTTTCATGTAATCATGAATACTACAACCCAAGTTCAACAAGTGATAAGTTGACCTTATCAATGAATTTTTCATGTGAATTAAAATCAGTTGGTCACACTTTAAATGGACCTTTCACACATGTATGACTTTTTATCATGCACTGGTAGTTTGGAATTATGCAAATCTTCCAAATGTTGAGTCATGTCATTATTTAATATCAAAAGTTACACTTGTTAATAACACCTCCAATCTCATTATAAAAGGCTTTAATTATTAGTGGGAAGGTGTCAAGATGGCAAATACAAGTTTTCCAAAATTCTAATTTTTGCTTAAAAGCTCAAATTTTATCATTGGCAACAAATAGTGCCAGATGCTTTTACCTGAAGTTGTTTTGTTGAAGTGTCTAGTAAACAACCAAATCTGAATGAGGATAGTGTGTCAGTCATTCTTCCAAGTAAAAATGGTTTTCCATGAAAACAGCAACTAGTTCAGCTCACAACTCAACTACACAAGTACTTTTCCTTGAGACAATCATCCTACTTCGTTATGCATAAAGCATTTCTGCGTACTTTCTCTTTTGTTGCATCGAATATTATAGAGAAATGTGCACAAGAGTTAAAGTTTATTAAAATTAGAAATGCCCTAATTCATCAAAGAAATTCTTAAGTAAAATGGGTGCTTGTTTTGTTTTTTACTGTGAGTGCATGGTAGTGAAGAATACAATGACTACTGGTACAGTTTGGTGCCACTGCCTTGAGTCATTCNCATGGTAGTGAAGAATACAATGACTACTGGTACAGTTTGGTGCCACTGCCTTGAGTCATTCTGAGACAGCCAGCAATTTCACACACCACTGCTTCTGAACCAGCAGTGCCAACACAATGAAAAATCAAATAATGTCTTAAAATTATTATGAAAACAGTTTTGACTTTCTGAGAACCACTGCTCTAGAATTAAAAAAATAAAACAAAAACAAAACTGACATCAAATGAGGAAACGATATACACTCAGAAACTAAAAACAGGAAATGATCATAAAGTACACATTAAGTCCTAGCCAACCGAATATAGATATCATCAACAAAATTAACTATTCTCATTTCAGAAGCACCAATGTTCTGGACCTCATTTTTTATCTAGGCTAATGCACCTTAAAATTTAAAAAAAAGAAAATTGAAACAAGTAGGTTTTCCTTTTTCTTTATAGTGATCCCTGTCTGATGTGTTTTTTTTTTTTTTTTAACAATGCTGCCCAATGATTTTGTTAGAAATCTGAATGGGCCACTGAATCTATTTGTAAGAGGGTACTTTAGAAAGTATGTGGAAAAATTGAATTAAAAGATAATATGAATCCGTCCATGAATTTTTTGAAGACCCCTGATAGCTCAGAGGTAGATCATTCCTAGTAGGATCAGAAAACACTACCACTGGCAAACTACGGAAAGCTGGTTTAAATATTACCTACAAAATTGGGCAGTGACCCATGAGTATCTCCATGCTATCTTTTATATTAAACAAAGTAACCATAAGACAAATTAACATAGTTAGCCACACTTAACTAAAGGGGTAGATCTGTTAGAAGGGAAAATGCTTTCAGGGCAATTCACTTAATGCTGTGAAATTAAAGAAGTTCCTAGTTTCAGAAGTAATTATAACATGATACTTATTGTTTAAATTTTAAGACACGGACCCCACTTACCAT